GTTTGAGATAGCGTCCAGGATGGAGGCGGGTCGTTTTCAAACTGTGTTTCTAGCCTTAGCGCAACGGACATTCGTCTTAAACTTTTGTACCAGTTCCAAGAACTCGCATGGCTGAAATCCCAGGAACGGTGTCCTGACACAATTTAAGATTGTCAGGGCGCAGCAGTCTCGGTGATTCGCGCTGTTGAAATCCCACGGATGGCGTTCAGGCGCGAATTAAGAGTAAGGACGCAACAATCATGTTGATTTACAGCGGTGAAACCCCAGGTAAATGACCATGGTACGGTTGAAACTTATCCCACGCTTGTCTTCGAATGGGCCGCTTCCCGCAATGCAAGTCCATTCCTGTAGGGACCTATGGCGTGGTAACTTGGAGAGAAGGGGCATTGCAACATCGTTGATGCTGCATGAATTTACACTGGACCCCAATCCGCCTCTTCCTCCGCCTCCTCCTTTTCCGTAGCCATTCTGGCTCAAGCGGCTGCATCTGACCAAGCCAAACGGCTGGCGTGTCTTTCGCGAGACACTCGTGCTTCCCGTGTCCCTTGGCCAGGGCTCGGTTGGTGGACGCCGTTGAATTGATGACGGTGGTCACCACGTGTGCTGCTGCAAGGGCCACCTATGGTGACCGTGCTGCTGCTGCACCCGCTCAACATGGCAAACTTTTTGAGCCCGCAGTCACAGCTCAGGTAATGTTAGGTGCCGCCCCCGAGCATGTAGCAACGCGCGGCAAGACTCTGGCGGAAAGCTGGCGCAAACTCCGCGCGGCAGGGATGCGCGCGCCGCCCGACCTGGCGCGCGACTGCTGTGCCCTCGACAGCGCCGCGGCACTGCCGCGGCATCTGGCGCGGCTGACGGCGTGTTGCATACCATTATGCTGGTGCATCTCCCAACGACGACTCGAGCCACGACGAGCTAACCACAGACTCGGACGAGTGGCGCCGCTTCACTCGCCACGGACAACGACGACCACTGCATGAACAACATTCCGTTGTTCTGGAAAGCGCCGCTCATCCTGGAGGCGCTTGCTGCCAGGCTCCTCGACGAGAGGACCCTGCTTCCGAAGTCTACGAAGAGCGCGATCACAATGTTTCCCCTCCGTCCACGCGGATCTGCTGATCCACGGTCTGGCCATCCCGATGGAAGCCCTTCGCCTTCACAGCATGCTGCTGACAGTGTTCTTCCCCAGAGGGGCCAAGGCGTACATCTGCGACGAGATCGAGCCGATGGCTCGGAGCGGATGGCTCGGTGCCTGGAGGAGCTAGGCACCTCGGCAACAACCAGCCTGCGTCGCATTATGAACCCCTCAGCTTGCCGTCCTTCGCTTCGGCTCCACCCGCCTGGCTTTCTCGCTCGTTCGGCCCCCTCCCTCGGCGCCCTCAGACCCGTCGTGTATACCGTTGCGGTCGCTTTCTCGGTTCATCTCGGCCCCTCGCTGGTGAGCTCCTCGACTCCGATCCCTTTTTTGTCTGGACCTGCCTCTGTAGAGGCAGGCGTATATTTAGTCCTTGGTCCTGGGTCCTCCTCCTCCTCCTCCTTCTCCTTCTGTTCCTCATCTTCATCACTATCACTATCACTATCACTATCACAATAATCATCATCATCATCAGCCGCAGCAGCATCATCATCAGCAGCAGCATCAGCATCAGCGTTCAGCATCAGCGTTCAGCATCAGCATCATCAGCATCATCAGCATCACCAGCATCACCATCAGCATTATCAGCATCATCAGCATCAACAGCAACAGCAACATCAACATCATCATCATCATCATCATCATCATCATCATCATCATCATCATCATCACCATCGTCATCGTCATCATCATCATCATCACCACCACCACCACCACCACCACCACCACCACCACCATCATCATCATCATCATCATCATCATCATCATCATCATCATCATCATCATCATCATCATCATCATCATCATCATCCCTTCTCCCCCTCGTCCTCCTCCTTCTCCTCCACCTCCTCCTTCCTCCTCCCTCCTCCTCCTCCTCCTCCTCCTCCTCCTCCTCCCTCCTCCTCCTCCTCCTCCTCCTCCTCCTCCTCCTCCTCCTCCTCCTCCTCCTCCTCCTCCTCCTCCTCCTCCTCTTCCTCTTCCTCCGCCTCCCCGCCATCTGTCGCTCGAACATCAGCCCCGCGACTCCAACGAAGGACCCATGGGGGCCAATCTGGAAGGACAGAACTTCTGGGGCGCGCCCAAGAGCCCAGGGGGTCCGGTTTCCGCGGAGGAAAGAACAAATCCCTGGCGAGGGGTTCGAGCACGGGGGATACCCCCGCCTCACATTCCGGAAGAGGGACGAATTCTCAGCCGCGGGGGTGCCCGCGCGAGGGGTCCCACCCACCCCAGCGCAACCAGAGGAGGAAAAGCGTGAGAGCCCAGATTGTAAATGCAATTCAGCAACACTCTAAAAATGGTTGCACTAGAGAGTTGTGCTAGGGACTTGTACTAGGGAGCTGTACGAATACTGCTTGGACCAGAGAATGTTACTAGGAAGTTTCACTAGGGAGTTGTACTATTACATTCTACCACTCGGTTGCACCACGGAGTTGTAATGTAAGTTGTATTATTCCTAGGGAGTTGTACCTGGGAGTTGTACTAGGGACTCGTACTAGCGAATTGTACTAGCACTCGGGAATTGCATCAAAGAGTTGTACTGGTACTATGTGTGCTAGAGAGTTGTACTAGGGAGTTGTACTGGAGTTGTACCAGTACTAGGGAATTGTACTAGGGAGTTGTACTAGGGCGCACAGTTCTACCAGTTGTAATACGATACCAGCTGCACTCTAATACTTGCACTGCAGGACAATGTGCTCTCTAGGAGCAACTGCGCGCTAATACATGATAGTACCAGTCGTACTCAAGTACTAGTTGTACGGTAGTCGGATGGGGTTCGGGGGTTCAACTGGCAACTCGCGCGCGGAAGAAAGAAACAAATCCATGCGCCGCCAGGGGTCCCGGGTTTAAAAGGTCGCCGCGAATGTTGACCCCCCGCGCAATGAAGAAAAGAAATCCGACCAGGGGGGTGGGGGGTTCAGGCATGAGTCGCGGGGATGATGCTCGAGTACATTGGCGGGCGGGCGGGCGCGCTCGCGCGCGGCCAGCGCCCCACCGCACCCAACCCCATGCCCACCCCGACCCCCCCCCCCCACACACACACCCACACACACACCCTCCCTATTTTCCTCTTGTTCCGCATGTTCCTCTTTTCCTCTTGTTCTTCCTCCTCCTCCTCCTCGTCCTGCTCCTGCTCCTCCTCCTCTTCCTCCTCCTCCTCCGACTCCCCCCCAGTCCTCCTCCTCCTCCTCCTCTTCCTCCTCCTCTTCCTCCTCCTCCTCCTGCCTCTTCCCCACCTCCTCCTCCTCCTCCTCCGCCTCCTCCTTCTCGTCCTCCTCATCCCTCCTCCTTCCTGCTCCCTCGTCAGCCCCCCTCATCGGCTTCGGGTCATAACTCTGGCCTCTGGCGGCCGTCTGGGACGATCCTGGCACCTCCAGAACGCTCTCGGCGAGGAGCACCTGTTGGAGATCGCCCGACGGCTGGAAACCGACGAGGAATGACCAGAGCGCCAGAAAACCTGGAACATCGAACCAATCCCCTCCCTCCTCCTCCTCCGCCTCCTCCTCCGCCTCCTCCTCCGCCTCCTCCTACTCCCACCCTCCGCCCTCCTCCCCGCCTCCTCCTCCTCCTCCCCCTCCTCCTCCTACTCCTCCTCCTCCTCCTGATCCTCCTCCTCCCTGTCATCAGCATCAGCGTTCAGCATCAGCATCAGCAGCAGCAGCAGCATCAGCATCATCATCCTCATCCTCATCCTCATCCTCATCCTCATCCTCATCCTCATCCTCATCCTCATCCTCATCCTCATCCTCATCCTCATCCTCACCCTCATCCTCATCATCATCATCATCATCATCATCATCATCATCATCGTCATCATCGTCATCATCATCATCACCACCACCAACACCTGACTTTTCACCACCACCACCACCACCATCATCATCATCATCATCATCATCATCATCATCATCATCATCATCATCATCATCATCATCATCATGATCATCATCGTCATCATCATCGTCATCATCATCACCACCACCACAATCACCACCACCACCATCATCATCATCATCATCACCACCACCATCATCATCATCGTCATCATCAGCATCACCATCATCATCATAATCATCATCAGCATCATCATCAGCATCATCATCATCACCACCACCACCATCACCATCACCATCACCATCATCATCACCATCATAATCAACAACATCACCAGCATCATAATCAACAGCATCATCATCAGTATCATCAGCATCATCATCATCACCATCATAAATGATCGTCATCATCAGCATCACCAGCATTATATTCGTCGTCATCATCATCGTTATCATCATCGTCATCGTCATCACCATCACCACCACCATCACCATCAGTATCACTATCTTCAGCAGCATCATCAGCAGCATCATCACCATCATCAGCATCACCATCATCATCGTAACCATCAGTATCATCATCATCATCAACAACAACAACAACAGCATCACCACCACCATCATCCTCAGCAGCATCATGGGCATTCTTATCATATTCAAAAATATCCTCCTCGTCCTCCTGTTTCTCCTCCTTTTCCTCCGCCTCATCATCCTCCTCCGCCTCCTCCTTCCACCTCCTCCTCCCTCGTCCTCATCCCTTCTGCTCCGCCTCCGCCTCAGACTTTGCTCTGGCGTTTGATCCGAGACGACTCCGCTGACGCGCAGGCTCCAAAAGCACCGAAATGCAGGGACCGAGCGCCAGGGCAGAAGATCCTCCCAGAGCCCTCCCCTGGCGGAGGCAACGGAGATCGGGCGCGGCGCCATTAAGAGACCCCCCCCGTGAAGAGCCGCTTCCGTGACGACCCCTCCGCCCGCTCCTCCGTCTGCCGCGCAGCCGGCTCCCCTCCCAGGAGAGGGCAGGAGCGGCGCAGGTCCTCAAGGCCCCGCGGCGCGGAGGACGGCCAGCGGAGGGGCAGCCTGCCCCCTTTCCGTGGCGGCACCAGCGGCGGCCACGGGGAAGCGCTGGGGGGACTGCTCCTGCTCCTGCTCCTGCTCCTGCTCCTGCTCCTGCTCCTGCTCCTCCTCCTGCTCCTGCTCCTGCTCCTGCTCCTGCTCCTGCTCCTGCTCCTGCTCCTGCTCCTGCTCCTCCTCCTCCTCCTCCTCCTCCTCCTCACGGCGGGGACCTCAGATATCAGACGATACGTTTTATTCTAATCCTGGCGGTTTTCCGGCGATTTCGGCCTCCGGGGCCCGTTCTCGGGACCAGAGCCATCCGGCATGTCCACTGAGGAAAACTGTCCCTAGGGAAAGAGTCGGGACCTCTTAAGGGCTGACAGAAAGATATCTACATATGCCTGGGGAGGAAAGATTGACCAACGCCTGCCTCGCTCTCCGCCTCTCCCGTTGCTGAGCCGCCCCGTCAGCAGCGCGCTTTCTGCGCTTGCGCCTCCTCCACCTCCTCCACCTCGTCCTCCTCATCCTCCTCCTCCTCCCCCTTCTCCTCTTCCTCCACCACTACCACCTCCTCCTCTTCCACCACCTCCTCGACCACCTTTTCGACCACCTCTTCCTCCTCTTCCTCCTCCTCTTCCTAGTCTTCGTTCTCTCCTCCCCTCCTCCTTGGCAATTGCCTGCGCGCCTCGAGTTCGGGGGCGGGGGGTGGGGGCGAGGGGAGGTCGCAAGAGCAAGGGAGGGGTGGTGGTCGCGAGACCAGCGGAAGGGGCGATGGGCGGCAGGGCGTGCAGAGGGGACGGGTGGGAGGGGAGGGAGGGAGGGGAGAGGAGGGAGGAGGGAGGAGGGAGGGGGGAGGGAGGAGGGAGGAGGGAGGAAGGAGGGGGGAGAAGGGAGGGAGGGATTTGTGGGGGAAGGGCGAGGGGACAGGGGACAGGCGAGGAGGGACAAGAGGGGACCATCACGAGGGCAGGGGAGCCGAGGGAAGAGCGGGACACGAGGAGAGGGGGAGGCGGGGGAGGAGGGGAAGGGAGGGGTGGAGGAGGAGGGGGAAGGAGGGAAAGGGGAAGAGAAAGGGCGAGGCAGCGAGCAGGGGGGGACGGTGCAGGAGGGGAGGACGGCGAGGGGGAGGAGTGGAGGGAGATACGGCAGCCGCCTAGTTACTCTGCGCCCCGATGGGCCACACTCTTGAACCGCAGCTTTTCGCACTTCCTGATCCGCACTGACGGCTGCCTTAACTTGATTGTCAAGGCCTAAGTCGGCGATTTTATCCCTTGAGGCCTAGCACTGTTTTCTGCACGCAACATGATATAGTCTTCATGTCCGAGCAACGTTGAACAAGAGGAGGGGCCTTCGATGTGCATTAGACATGTTGCAAAATGTGCGGTGATAACTGTGCATGGTACAGCATGTATAAATACATATATATATATGCATATATATATACAACTATATAGATAAAACATGCATGCACGCGTGCATGCATGCATGTCGTATGCATGTGTTATGTATGTCTGCATGCATGGTTGTGTATGTATGTGTATGTACGTATGTGTGTATGTATGCATGCGCATGCATGTATGTATGTATGTACGTTTGTATGTATGTATGTATGTATGTATGTATGTATGAATGTGTGCATTGTGCATGTATGTCTGTACGTGCGTACGTATGTAGTCTTTCCTCTGAGAACCGGGGTAAGATGGCTAAGGGATGAAGGTCTCATGCTCGCTCTGCTCAATGGAAGAGGGTCCAGGATGAGACATCGATAAGACGAGTAACCGGTAAGCAAGTTTACTCTATCAAGAATAATAAGTGAGGAGGCCGGCCGGCCGACGACACGACTACGACGAGGGGGCGACCCCTCGGCGCGCGCGTGCGAGCCAGCACGCTCCTTTTAATCTCCTGTGAGCAAACGCACAGCTGCGGAAGATTACCGCAATCATAGTCAGACAGTGCGCAGCAGGGCAAGCGATGCGAAAAGCAGCATGAATATGAGGCGGAGAGGAGCTTATTTACCCCCCCCCGCGGCGGGCCTCGTAGAGCTCATCCGGCCACAGCACCCCTGGCCTATATATGCGCAACCACCGGAGCGAACCCCAATAACTTTTACCGCCCAACGGTGGCCACCAGGGGGCTAAGGGCCGAAGAGGCCCGACGACTCCCTCCATCATATAAGTAAATTATCTCCGCCGATTCGGCTTAGCCGATCGGCAGAGCTGCTTTACTCGTCCGACACGACTTCGTCGCGCGGCGAGAACTCTCTTGCATACGCCTGCAGCGACTAAGTCACGCGGGTCGGACTCAATCCAAGTCTCCGAACGGGTTGTTATCCCCCGTCGGTGGCGTCGGAGGCCTCGGGTTCGATGGCGCCGAGCCTCCAGTCTGTCCCTCGCCGCCACGAGGCGATCGGGACCTTCCTTTGCCACGGCCAGCGTAGTATGCTGCTCTGTAGTTATTGTCCTTGTTCTTGAACGCCTTCCCCTTCGACGGGAAGTGAAAGTCATGTTCAAATAGAGACAGCGCGTGCCAAATCTGCGACCGCCAGACATCGTCGGACAGCCGTGCGATCCGATCCCGGTGGACGTAGCACCCAACCTGCACATTGTTTATGTAGTGCGGGTAGGACACGAGCGGGTCGTAGCCGGCCGCGCCGCGACCGACGCCCATGGCTCCATTGCGCGCGCGCGGGGGCCTCGACCAATCCCATGTGTCAGCATTTCACGAGTATTCTTCTCTTGCCGCCACGTCTGCGCCGGCGGCAGAGCGTGGGGATTCGGTAACTTCGTCGCCAGCCCGAGCGTCTGAGGCGTCGGGTCTGCGCGGCGGAGGTGGCAGCTGCGGCCTGGCTTTCGCCGCATCCTGTTCTCTCATCGGCCCCGCGGAATCAGCTTGGCTGCCGTGGTGCGGATTGGCATTTCTGCTCTCACGAACGTTCTGCTCTCGATCTCGAATGAACTTCAGCAAATTCCTAGCAGCTGTAGCTACTGGGATGCCAAATTTTCCGCATGCAGTACGGAATGGGCCTGCGTCCTTATCTTGGAGCTCCGTACCAGGATCTATGTGCCTGTTTTGAAGCCAAGAAATGGCCTCTTGTAGTAATGAGCCCTCACGACGAATGTCGGCTTGCACTTGTCTGCCTAAATTATGGGCCCACTCTTCTATGAGGTCGTCCGTTTGGACCGCAGCGCGAATGCGACAGTCAAGGGCGTATTCGTCTCTCCGTCGCCTTAAGTAAACATTATATGTGTTCCCTCTCGCGGCACGAATTATTCGCCCTGGGTAACCGACAAAGTATCCGTCTGGAATGAAGGAGCCCATGGTCTCACGAACGATAGCAAGTATTCTTACACTGCGAAGACCAAGTTGTATTCGTTGTACAGGGGCCATCCAGTTCCCTTCAACTATGTTCTTCACAATAGTTGGGACCTCGTGTTCCATTTCCCCTGACAGTCGCAATCTATCGGGACCATTGGAGTCTGAGCGAACACCTGTGTATTCAACAACATATTGGGCTGCGATCGCCCTAGCCTCTAACCCGTGTAAAGATATATTTATTGAGCTGTCCTCGCAATGGTTATATGAATAGCCGTTAGGCTGATCAAAATTGATCGCCCCTTCGGTTATCAGCGTGGCCTTAGGCCCGCTGAGCGTTGAGAAATCGAGTTTGACCTGTGAGCGAGCGCCTGCCATCGCGGCTTCGCCGGTGGCAGGTTGCAGCATCGGTGCTATGAGGCGATGATCGCGACACTCATTGGTTCGTCTAACGACGGAACGAGAGTCACGACTTGGCCTCGCCTCGAGGCTGTGCTCCCAGGCAACCGGCAGACGTCCGCGAGGGCTTTGCCCTGCGGCATCCGCGGCGTCTTCCCGCGGCACAGGCAGCCACGGTGCCCCCATGGATATCGCATTTATTATTGTCTGAAGTGTCGGGGCGAAGACGTTTTGCCTGGTCATCGAGTGATACCATCTATCCCAACCGGTCACCGGTTCGAGGACATCGTCTTGGTAATCTGGCCAGTCGAAGGCTGCCAGAGCCGGGCAAGATACTGGGCGTGCATACTGGTCAATATTTGTTTGCCAAAGCAAGGGCCACCATACCTGGATCACAGGAACCTGCGTTCTCGCTCTCGAGGCCGAGAACGCGAGCCATTCAATGAACCTTCGGGTCAAGGGCTTCAAATATTGAAAGAAAGGGCCATGGCGCGCCGGCGGCTAAGCCGCGGTGCCCGCTGGAACCCAAGCAGGGAAGTTGCCTGGCTGGCTGTTCCCAAAAATCTGACCTGCAGCAGCCATTCGCGTGAATCCCCCTTCTACCCACTTGCGCTCCTGCTGTTGGTTACTGCAGATATTCTTCATCACAATCGCAGAAGCCCTCTGTTGTCTTCTCCCACGCGCTTTGATCCACTCAGGAAGCGTATTGGGAAGATCACGGGGGTCATTCGCATGTAATCTAAGTCCATTTGCTTCAAGGGATCGCGGAATGATCCTTCTATTCCACGTCTGGGCCAAATAATCGTGAGTGACTCTATGTTTATATTTGACCCGACAGCTGCAAACTGGACAGTGTCCGAAGCCCATGCGCACCCAGTGGAATTGGTAGCATAGAAGCCTTCCGTCATCGTCCCATGGGGACAGACAGAACACGTTCTTGCGCTGCGGGTGACAACTGGGACTTATGATTCGGAATCAACGATGCCGTCTCGTCAGTGTGAATCCAAGCGATCATTGATTCATTGTCAAAAGTCACTTCGTACGAGGCCCACTCGCGGTTGAAGACAACAGACCAGAACATCTGATGTACTACGGAGTTATCGCGAGGTCCAACCCTAACAAGGGCAACAGCCTTGGCAATCAGTGAACCTCGGCACCTCTCGAGACACGAGGGTCCCGTCTCGGCAAATCCTATGCGAGAAACGAGTGAGCACTCGGCCAGCGAAAACAAGAATTAGTGGCCAGGATTCTCTGTGATTGGGGAGATTATCCCATAGATGGACTGTGTCCTCCGGGGCCATGTCCCTGCAGTT